TGGATGATGAAATCATTAAGTAGTGTTAATTAGGAACAGGGTGCATACAGTGTCTCAAAGTACATTGCACAGATTACTTATTAGTTATAAAAGGGAATGTCTTTGTTAGTGGAGAATTTGGGCAAATACCACCTTTATTGAGTGATCAAAATATAGCATCATCGACAGTGATACAGACTGGCATCACATGCCCCTGATGTGATGTGGCCGGAGAGATACAGGAGCAATGAGTAATAGTCCTGCCCAGAGCTAGAGGAGCTAATCAGACAAAGGCAGTGTCATGGTGACACATCCCTATAATCCCAGAACCCTGGGAGGCTGAGGTAGGAGGATTGTAAATTCAAGCCCAGTCTGGGTAACTGAGTGACTTGGTGGGACCCTGTGTCAAAATTTTAAAAATTTAAAAGGAGCTAGGAATGCAGCTCAATCTGGGTTCAGTCCTCAGCCTCTTTTACACACACACACACACACACACACACACACACACACACACCCAAGAGAAAAAGCCAAAGGTATTGTTAGATTAAGACATTTCAATAAATACGATAAGCGACCCATAATAGGATCCTGAGTCCCTCCTCCCCCCAAAAAAGCTAGCTATAAAAAACATTTTGGGGCTGCGCATATAGCTCAGTGGTAGAATGCTTGCACATGTGACACTAAATTCAATCCCTAGTATCGCCAAAATTTTTTTAAAAATTGGGATAAGTAAGGAATTTGGTATATGGACCATTGAGTTAATAATGAGTCAGTCTGAGTTAATAATGAGTCAGTCTAGAATGTGTTGAGTATAATAATGGTACTGTGATTAGCATGGTATGTTTTGTTCTTAGGTGCACATACTGGGGAATGTGTAAAGGTGAGGGGTTTGTGCCTATGATTTTCTATTGGGTTAGCTACACACAAACTCCCAAACAATGTAGAGAGATGAAATTGTGCGAAAGGTTAGCACTTGACGGGTCTTAGTGGAGCACATGTGACTACATGGTGTGCTACTCTTCCAACTTTGCTATAGGGTTAAACTGCGTGAGAGTGAAAACAGCCAGTCATGGCTGTAACCTCGGCAGTCTGAAAGGCTGAGGCAGGAGCATTCCAAGTTCGAGTGCAGCCTAGGGTCCTGTGAAACTTAGCAACTTAACGAGACCCTGCCTTAAAGAAAAATGTTGCAGATGTAATTCAGAGTGTAGACCCTGGGTTCAATCCCCAGTAACACCCCTCCCCAAAAGTGAAAATAGAGAAAAATAACATGTTTATATATAAAATCAACAGAATCAATTTTGTATAGGTTTCTAAAATAAGTATTTCTGACTTTGGAAGTACCTTTAAAAATGTTGGTGGAATGATACCATTTCTGTTATGCAAGAGATACTTTTATAATTCAGTTCCCATCATGTCCATATTCTAATGAGCAAACTGCAATCAGAAGTAATATTCTGACTGTGATCTGTTCATGTTCATTCTCCTTCACAGTCTCTTGCCTTGGGACTACAGAATACTATTGATTATTATTTCTTAATGATGTTTAATTGACTTTTTAAAATGTAAACTCTTTCAAAGTTTGTTTAAACTTTCTTATGTAACAACCACCATTTTAGGTGATGAAATTAAAAGATGAACGTGTGATATGGTTCCTATGGCCAAAGAGTTTAAAAGTTAGTGTGATTTGTACAGTTAGGCAGCTGGAAAACAACAGTTGGGTGCTACAACAATAATCATGATAATTCTCAATTTTTAGATGAGACAATAATGGTACAGAAGAATTGAGTGATTTTCCCCAAGTGAAACAAACGGGAAGGAGCAGAACTCAGATTTGGATCCAGCGTAGCTGGTTTCTTAGTCATGCCACTGAAAACTGAGGGAATAGTTAGGCTGGGAACCTGGCGCTGTTTGGGAGAGGCTTTGGACCCTGCACATTGGATTTAGATCTTGAGAGCATGTATAGGAATTATGCCAGATGATGGTGAGGAAGAGCATTACAAGAGACAAATAACAAAGACTAGCAAAAGAGGTGTGAAAATACATTGTGGGTTGGGAGTGACAGATAGTTCAGGACGGCCAGATTGTAAAAGTAGCAACCAGTGAAACAGATATGTTAACAGTTTGAACTTAGTGTGTAAAGAATGAATAGCCTCTGAAGGAGTTTAAAGTGGGACTGTGTTTAAAAGTATGGTAACCATGTTAAGGCTAGGTTGAAGACGGGGGTGTCAGCCAGAAACTTTGATTTCTGAGTGAGGGCAGAGGACAGGGTGGAAACGGACAAGGAGAGGCCAGCAGAGTGCAGTCTGAGTGTGGAAAGTAAGATGAAAGGGAGACTCCGTTGCCGTCCTTCTCGTTTGATGGATTGAATGCATGCAGATGCTGTAGTTCATGTCAGGGAGCAGGCAGAAAGGTAGGAGCAGCGTGTTTGGGGAACTGAGCTGGATGTGTTGGGTTTCAGTCTGTTAACCTTTTAGGTGAAGATTGTTAATATGCTGTTGGGTTCCAGTTTCATCTTGGTGCGGTTGGGTCTATGACAAGTTGATGTTCCTTAGCCTATTTTTCTAGGGTATTGAACTTTGTGTTTGTTAAATATGTTTCCAGTTATTTCTTCAGGATAATTTTTAGAATAGTTAGCTTCAGCATATTTGGTGAGAAAGTGTATTTTAATCTGTAGACATTCAGGAATAGGGAGAAAAAGACTTTCATGTGCATTCAAGTTGGATATTGTTGAAATGACAGCATTATGGCATTAACATTTAAACTTGATTGATCTACTGATAATTTAAAAATTCTATAGTCTGGGAGTTTTTCCAAATATAACTTTTTTTTAAAGTGTAAGAGAAAGAAAAGCTCGCTCGTTTTTAAAAATTGTATCTATGTACGTGTTTTGCTTTGCAGTGTGAAAATGTATAGCATTTAAAATAATCCATATATATGATAAGCACTAACACAAAAGTGTATCTTTAAAAAAAAGAATGACTGCTTCCTAAAGTGATTCGTTGATAATTCATAGTCATAAAAATGAAAGATAGCAAGAGACCTGCCAGATCTCAGCAGGGTTGTTCCTGGCAAAGCGTATGTTATTATACTCTTGGCTTGGCTTGAATTGTTTGGTGTTTTCCTGTTGGTGGGAAAAGGGATTATGCTTTGAAGAAGTTAGGAGGGGAAGGAAGAACAGAAAACACACCAAATGGCAGCTTAGATCAATCTTGATTTTTCATGGTGTGGCCTTCTCTAAAGTCACGTTTAGCAGAAACATTAATTAGATTTCAGTGCCCCACTGAGTTTTCAAATTAAACATATTTCTGGAACCATCTGTAACACTTTATCACTAATAATATAATGAAGACAATGCTTAGCCTTTTGAAAAATGGGAATTAGAATGAATTTTGCTCATGAGTAAGCATCTTTTATTATGAGAAACATCAAAACTTTAAGTGGAGTTAAAAATTAGAGTTTTAAGATTATAGCTAAAAGGAAATATTCTTGGCAACAAAAATATTCTTGTCAAGTAGAATCTTTTCCGAAGTTCTGGATTTGGAAGGGAGGATTTTATGTTTCTTTTAGATCTAAAAATACTGGTGGTAGGTATATGCCATCTGCCGCCACGGTGCCTGCCTATCTGAGGCTGGATTGAAGCCAGTAAGCAAGGAGCAGTTGTTTTCATCTAGGAACTGTGATCGCCTGTACTGGAGTAGAGGACGGGCTGGAAGCCAGAGACAGAAGGCGTGCTGGCTAAGAGACCAAATCCTGGAGGCCGAGTGCCTTGCTCTGAGCCCCCCCTTACACTGACGCCTGTCCCTGAGGCCTGTTACGCCTCTGCTTCCTCAAAGTGGGCACGGCCATACATCCTTAGGAAGTTGTAGGGTACTGTGTGTATATTGTAGAGCAAAGATGTATCTTCAGGACTATTTTCCTCCTGGTGTGTTGTTCTTCTGTTTCCATTACTTTCTATTCATACATTTACTATAACCACAAACAAGTCCAGGCACTTAGCAAAAACACTCTGTCTTCCTGAAAACCAAAGAAAGGAGGACCTGGCATTTTATATCTCACTTTCACCACTACCGAGCTGGGCCCTAGACCTTAATTTCATGTCACCTTCAAGACCCTTGCCCACTTCTTCAGCCTTGTTTCCTGATATTTCCTATTTCAGAGCCTTGGGAGCTACCGTCCGACCCCAGCATGCTGAATGATCACAGAAGTGCAAACTGGCACATCTGCCTACAGTGTTCTTTTCCATGTTGCACTTTACAAAAACCCTAAAATCTTTCTTTCTTCATTTTTGCTTGTGTTCTTGGATACCCTAGGTGGGGATTTGACTGTTTCTTGTGTGACCTTGCTGTTAGCCTACCTGTCTATGCCACAGCGTCTGCCATAGCACTGGCTTTCCATGTTGGTGACCCTGAGTGCCTAGTCAGTCTTCTTAGGCAACAACTATGCCTTACTCACCTTTGTACAATTTTTTCTCAAGTATACAGCTAGTTATGTGTTATAAGTACCCAATTCTCCTTTAAAGCTTTCATTTAGTTTTTTTTATTGGTACCAGGAATCGAACTCAGGGCCTTATGCTTGCCAGGCAGGCAGTGTGCTGCTGAGCTACATCCAGACTCCCAACTTTGATTTAAAACATGATCGAAAATGAAGAAAAAGCATGGAATTTTGAAAGTGTTTCTATTCCTTCATAAAAGATATTTCAGAGTATTTTATAATTTCCTTTTATGTATAGAATACTCAAGATTTTCAATGATTAGCTTTAAAGTTTTAGAAAATAGAAGCCAGACCTTTCTGTATCTTTTTACCTAAGTAGAGCATTCTCTAGGATTGTTAACTTTAGCTGTGGAATACTGTTGACACTGTGCCAATATTATCCAACATACAAAAGTATGGATATTTGATGTCTAACACAGAATAACTTTTTAAAGTAGTCCTTTTTAAGCAACATTCTCTTTGAATATTTTTTTGTAATTTATAAGCAAGGAAGCCTCAAACAATAACAGTGAATTTCAATTTTATTTTAGCAAAAGCACCTGGAAATTGAAAGAACTACCAAATGGCTGAAAATGCTGAAGGGATGGGAAAAATACAAGAACACTGAAAAGGTAATTTAAAATAATGCTATTTCTATAGGAAACTGTATAAATTCAATGTGGATTTTCACAGTAAAATTTTTCTTCAATTATAAGAATATTGTACTCATATTCATTTTGAAAGATTAATTTAGTGAAATGCCTTAGCTTGAAAGTCCATGTGTTGTGACAAATACTTAACCCAAATTGGTCTCAGCGGTTAAGAGGTTATATCACATGGTCCAGAGATAGGATAAGTTCAGCAGTAATTTAATTCAGCTACTCAGTTATGTTGCCTATGACTTAGTTTCTTACGTGTGTTCTGTGTCTTCTGCACTGTCACTGTTATGGTGAAGCTGGCTACCGTTTGAGGTCAGAACCACTGCATTAATTTCAGGCTGCATATCCACCCATCACTTTTCAGAAAGAGACAAAGCTGGCCCCTGATCACTTTCTTAAAGCAGGACAGTCTCCTTTCTAAATTTGCTCCTGGCAAACTTCCCCTTAGATCTTCTTGCCATGCACTGAGTCGTGCTAAGTTTTACCACGTTCCCAGCAGGGGTACATCCATGCCTGTCACGTGCCACCCAGTGAGACAGTCATGCATGTACCCCTGGTGCTTCAAGCCGGCAGGAATGCGTTAAAGCAATTAAAGAAAACTACTCACATCTGTTAATATTGCTATCAGTCTCATCCGAAAAGTCTTTAAATAGTGGAAAGGTGTCAAGTTCCTGGTGGTATAAGTTTTTTTTTTTTTGAAAGCTCTAATTTTTGCTTGAAAGGTCAAATGTTATCAGTGGCAACAAATTCAGTGTTACTTTTCTTTAAGTGACAGTCTCACTTCATTTATTTGGAGAAAATGTCTGCCAAATACCACCGCAAGTCTAAACAATCACGTGGGTGTGATTGGCTGCTTGTTCTTTTAAGTAATGACGGTGTTCTGTGAAAAGAAGCGTTTGGCTGAGACGGCCACTCAGTTTTCTCAGTGCCTGTTCCGAGGTGGCTGTCCTACTGCAGTACGCAGCAGGAGGCCCGTATGTGTGCTCCGCGTCACCACTCAGCACAGCCACAGGCTGCGTGCTCAGGAGCTGAGACGTAATAAAAGTAATGTTTGTTACTGCTTCATCCCGGGCATCCTTGAGTGAAACTGACCTTTGTAAAATTGTGAGTGCAGAGCAGAGTGACTCCTTGTTCAGCGCCGCCTTGATTTGTGCCAGGGTGCAGTAGTTTTGTCATCATTGCTTTTCTGCCACCAGGGCAGAGGTCGGAACGGTGAAAATAGAAAACAATATTTTAGTCATATTATGAAAATAGTTCTGACCTCATAGACCATGGTTTGTGAACCACTGACATCTTTTTCTGTAAAGTGCAGATAAAAGTACTCATTTCAAAGAGATGAAGATTTAATGAGTTAATGGAGGGAATGCACTTAGGGTTGTACCTTGCATATAGTGAATGTTAACTATCGATGTTAACTTTTTGAAGGAAGACTGGATAGTTAAAAAAATATCTTAAGGGAAAAATGAAATCATTCATTGTCCTATAGCAAAGTACAACTGAGATAACTATTAATGATTTCTTAAACTATTTACTCATACTTTTTTCCTATGTAATTGTTTTTCTTCCCTTTTTTGTGTCAGTGTAAAGTGTACATGTCAGCATTTGCCAGCAGGAATTCCAGGAAGCTCAGTTCCTGGGTTCTCACAGGAGTAACATAGAAGCACGGCAGCCCTGAGGTTGGGCGGAGTCAGAGCCAGACGCCCTGGGTGCAGAGCCCAGCCTGCTGCTTCCTAGTTGTGTGGCCTTGTGAACGATACTTCACTTTCTCCTGCCATAGTGTGCTCGTGGGTACCGGGGAGAGAACTACCTGGGAGGGTTGGTGAGGACCAAATAACCTAGCAAAGCACGTAGATTAGTGCTTGACAGTGTATCGTCACTTAACTGTTGCTTATTATTAGGTGAGGAAAGGGCTCTGATTAAACAGAATTGGGAAAATCGGAGCTAAACAAAATTTAGCAAGCCTTGTTTACCACGGGCCTCCTCCGTATGAGTTTTAAGTGTGCCCTTAAATGACATGAGACTTATCGACGACGGGCATCTCCAAGTGACAGGACTGCAGAGTCACTTTGGTTACAGGGCCTCTCACAGGGCTAAGGGCATTTTGCTTTCTGAGAACCCTACAAATCCTTATTTAAAGTCAGAGTGTTTTATTTTACTCATTGTGTATTGTTGGTTTTACCATCTTGTTTGAGCACTGCGTTGAGAACTCAGGGTGTTTCAAGAGAGATCAGTTCGAAGTGGAGGGTGGTGCAGCACCCGCGCTCTTGTTCAGTAGTGTGCTGCCTCAGGGTAGCTGCAGGTGGCGGCTGCTTCACCTGACGTCTTGGTGGGAAGGTTCTCAATGGCAGTTACAGGCTAAATTTCCATGCCTTGTGCCTACGCTTTAATCTCACATTCAGTCTAATAAAATATTTGTAAGTTAGGGTTTATGCTCTTCTCTGATACACATATAACTATGAAATGATGTAAGTCTCTGTAAAATGAGCAGTTCAGCTAGGCTGTTATTCTGACAGCAACTCTGGCTAATGCAGTTCTCATTAAGAGAGATTTTTAGCAGAACTGTTTCTTTGATGTGTAATTTTAAAGCACTCTCCCATAACTGTAATTCTAGACTCACTTGGTGATATGTATATATAGTCCGGTTTGGTATGAAACAGAATGAGCCTTCTAAAAAGAACTACTGCTTTCAGTGCGTACCTTGTTTTAAATTGCATTGAAGTAAAAAGTAGTATGGAATTTTTTTTGTCTTTTCCAACAGTAGGTATGTTTTCTTACCACAGATTCCTATTTATATAATAACAAAACAAATTTTAAGGATCTTTTGAAATAAAAATATAGCTCTGGTAGAGAATATTTGGATTTTTAGAACCAAAACTTTAATGAGAAAAAGTTCCACTAGGGTTGTGTTGCCTGTGCGTTCTCACAGTGTCTGCTTCCCCCTGTGGACAGTAGTATTATATTTTTAAAGTATAATTTATTAAGGGGGCTGGGGATTTAGCTCAGTGGCACAGCACCTGCCTGGCAAGCGTGAGGTCCTGAGTTCGATTCCTGGTACTGGGGGAACATTTTATTAAGTTATTTCTGTTGTGGGTACCGGTATAATTCAATTGGTCACGCTGTCACTGCGTCTAAGTTCTGTCATAGCCGAGTACCTACTAGAGATGCATGTATTTCTTCGTGATTAAATGACTAAGTGGCCTTTAACTCCATATTAGCCAACACTTTATTTTACTCACTGGAAAACTGAGACCCCTCATTTAAAAATAAATTCAAGGTCACATAACTTGTTACAACGAGCTAGCGACTCCATGTGTGGATTCCGGAGCTCATTTCATTGTTCCTTATTTTATCAAGCCTTTCCTTTTGGTGTTTTCCATAAAGGCCAGAAAGGAACAGAATATAGTTAGGAAATGCAGTAGGGCCTTGTGGGTGGTTTACAGCATCTCAAGGCCCCGATATGGGAGACGCATGCTGTTTGAAGGCAGAGTCAAGGAGCTGGTGGAGCAGGTATGGTTGAAGAAGATGCGGGGGCAGTGGTTTCGCGGTACCGTACACCTGCAGTTTCCGTGGTGCCGCCGAACTGAGCTGGACTTGCTGGGCTGACAAGTTTACTCATCGGCAGGCAACATGGTGCACATACACTGCTGTTTGGAGGTCACGTGAGCTAGAAAACGGCAGTGAAAGCCATCACTTTTTCAAAGGTGTGGAAAGCATTTACATTTTTAAATCTGTCAGCAGGACTGAAGTAGACTAATTTTATTGGCAAGTGAACAAAATAATGGCAATGAAAGGTTGAGGTCAGGCAACCTTCTTCTTAAGGTGTTATGGATTAAATCCATAAAATAAATTTGTAAAAGTTTTTTTAAAGTGATATTTTTCAAATTAGAATATTAAATTGTTAAAATCCAATATATGGAATTCTGTGGTGAAGACTGGACTCCAGAATAAGAGTAATGAATTTGAATTCTTAGGACAGTTTACTTTCAGCGCATCTTAGTCTACATCTCAGTTTTCTCATTTTTAAAATGGGCATGACAGTAATAGTGTTTACCTCTTTAGGGATGTAGAAACATTACGAAGACTGTATTGACTTAGAAACACGTAGCATAGTGTTGGTTCATCGCAGACAATCAGAAAATGTTACTGAATAGACAGTAGCAGAAATGTTATTAATGACTATTGGTATTAATGTTGTTACTGTCTGATTTATCGTTATCCTTACCACCGTTCCCACTGCTCGTCTTCTCGTCCCGGCATATGCATAAGTATTCTTCAGTATTCGGTTGGTCATTGTTCTCTCTACAGTAAGTCTTTCCCAACTCTCACGAAGAACTGCTTCCTCCGTTACTGCTAATACAGTCTTAGGAAGAGAACCACTGTGTTGGACAGATAAGTGATGGCAGAGCAGATTTATTGCCCCCTTCCAGCACTCCCATCCCTGGAACGTTTGTGGCTTCTCTTGGAACTGTCTTTCAGACGAGGTGTGAGCACCCTGCTACACTTGCTGCGCTGGGAGCAGTGTGGTGCCTGCCGCGCTCCTTGGGCCGCTCTGGCGCACCGGAGAGTGGTTCTCTACCATGACTTTCCTCCTCAAGTACCGTGCCCAACTCTACTAGAAATTGATTAGGTTATATTTATTAGAAAGAATTATCAGCTTATGTATTTATTTCTCCAACTACAATGTAAGCTCTGTAAAACTTTCTCATGTTTGTAGATCTGGTACCTAGTAAGTATTGGCCACAAAGCAGGTATTTATTAGAAAATTTCATTTTAGCATGAATATGTTTATTTGTGAGTCACAGTCAATCAGGTCTTTCTCTCTCTCTCTCTTTCTCTCTCTCTTTCTCTCTTCCTCTCATTCTCTCTCTGTCTTTGAACCAGGGTCTCATTACATAGTTCAGGCTGGCCTTGAACTTGATTATGTAGCCCAGGTTGGCCCTGAACTCACGGCGACCCTCCCGCCTCAGCCTCCTGAGTGCTGGGATTACAGGTGTGTGCCACCACGCCTGGCTAGCTCTTGCTTTCTGTTGATAAATTCTGCTATTTTAATAAAGCTGTAACTTCCAGGAGGCAGTATAGTTTGGCAGAGAGACCTTGAACTTGATGGAACTGTCACCTAGGCCAGCCACCCCGGGGTACCTTGGTTCCCTTCCATGTAAAGTGGAACACTCTGCTGTGCCTACATTTATAGCATAATTGTAGAACATAGGAAGTGCTGCTTTCTTAATTGACAACAGCAAATGTAAGCTGGACTGCTGTTCAGAGGAGTAAACAAATTTACCATAACTGGTACGCTTTGATGTAATTTTTACTGCTTTTAATAAAAAAATTTCTTAAACTTGTATGATAGTTGGACATTTATGAGGGAAAAGTAGGTAACCATAGTAAGTCAGTCACATAGTTGTACAAGTACAGTTGTCTCTCAGTGCCTGGGGATTGGTTCTAGGACCCTCACAGATTCCAGAATGTGCTGATGTTTCAGTCCCTACGTACAATGGCATAGTGCTTACATGCCACCTCTGAATGTCCTCCCTTATACTTTCCGCTTCTAGACTCCTAATACCTAGTACAGGGTGAATTCTGTGTGATGAATTTAACTCTAATTTTTATGCTGTGTTGTTTAAAGAGTGACAAGGTAAAGAAGTCCACACATTTGCAGAGCAGACACACGTCCTTTTCAAACAGCTTCCACTGACGACGGGTTGAATCCAGATACGGAGTCCGTGGATATGAAGGGCTGACTGTATTTGAAAACCAGCAAGCATAAATTAAGACCCTTATTTGAGAATCTTAGGATTTAATTCTTTGAATGTGTTTTGTTTCATTGCCTCCTACAGCCTGAATTCTAGAGACATCCCTTTTATATTCCTTTTACATTTAGGTATAATTATATTATATTACTTTCCTATTTTCTGCACTTGGATTTTCTTAATATTTTCCCCTTCACTATTCTATGTGTTCCAGTAAGTGCAATTGGGCAAACAGTGTGCTATAGTCATGGAAGACTGATCCTTATTTTTTTATGTATTGTAAAATCAGTGATCTTTTGCCAATTGGTAACATCTTGTATGTGCCTTTGGGTGTTACTTAATCTCTTTAGGTTTCAGTTTTCTTGTCTATAAAATTGAGTTGTTGGTATAAAGAATTATATAGTGGTTGACAGAATTAAATGAGATATCGTCAAATGTCTTAAAATCATTTCCTGCACATAGTAAATGCTCAGTAAAGGTTGGAATAATTGTTACTGTGGGTGATAATGACAATATATCAGTATTTCTTTTTCAGTCCTTTCCATGACTTGTTTTAAAATTTTACCCCTTTGATAGAATGAGGACTGTTAATTTTTTATTTTACTTCTTAGTTTAATCATGGCAACTTGATGGGTTTGTTTTTCTAAGACTAGATTTTTTAGTAAGTGATGGACAGTAATTTGTATATGATACTGAATACAGAATTGAACAAAAGCAATAAAATAAAATGCATGTTAGAGCTCCAGTTTTACTTATGGAAAGTATCAGCCTACTGGGAATTCAGGCTCATTGATATCAATCTCCTTAGCCATTCTACTCTGTTTTACTGTTAGAATTTTAACTGGGCATTGGCACGCACACCTGTAACCAGGCATTCACTCTGCAGGGAATGAGGTAGACTACTTTGCCCTTAGTGACTTAGCAAGACCCTACCTCAAAATAAAAAGGGATGAGGAAATAAATCAGTGCAAAGGCCCTGGGTTCAATCTGCAGTATTCAAAACAAATTTTCTGTTTTACTTTTCATACTTGCAGTAGTTTCCACACTTTTTGACATTTACACCAGATATTTACAGGACAGTATCTTTACTCTAGAAATTTATAAAATAACTTGAATTACTTTTAATATATAATACTGCTTTTAAAAGCATAGTTTTATAATTTTGAAGTGGATATAGATTGTAGACTTCTTTGGGAGAAATAAATCTTAAATTCATTTGTTTTTACCACGCTCAGTTTGCAATTAATGGTAGTAAATGTTGGATACATAAGAAATGTTGCAAGTATGGTTTATAGACAACATAGCCATTCTGTGTAAGTTTCTCCAGTTAGAGCTGTTACACAGGTTAAAATTTCTATGATTCTAGGTACTCTGGTCTGAAATTTCAGATCTGAGGCTTATGTTTATACTAAAAGAACAAAACAAATCAGGTGTGTAATTTTTTAAAAATTTTTTTGGGAGGCAAGGTCTTGCTATGTAGTTCAGGCTGGCCTTAAACTTGCTTATTACCCCATGCTGGCCGTGAACTCACAGTGATCCTCCTGCTTCAGCCTCCCAAGTGCTGGGAATACAGGTGTGTGACAGACACCATGCCTGGCATGTGTGTAATTACTAAACTGAATCAGCTTCACAGTAGTCATGGTTTCACAATAAAAGTCATACTACATTGTCATTCACTTTCATCCACAGTGTCAAAGGTTCTTAAAACTATATCGTAACTTATACTGAAAGGAAGGCTAACCTATGCAGATGGGGAGGGAATACAGGGCTGGGGTGAAGGAAGGAAAAAGGATTAAAATATGACATGTATATGTAGTAACTCCCCACAATGAGTGTGTTCATTATATATCACAAATGTGTACTAATAAAAATTGGGAGAAATTCTAATAAGTAAAATGTTAGTGTAATACTTTAAGTTGGCAAAGCTGTGCCTTGCCATTTCAGTTAAAGCGTGCGTCTTATTTTCTTAGCCGTGCATTGCAATGCGTTACAGTGTGAGCGCTGTGAGGTACGAAATGCTCCGAAATCCAGCAGTTTTGATGTCAGCCTGATGCCACAAGTAGACAGTTCCACACTTGGCCTCATGCGACAGATCACGTTTGAAGCAAAAACATTAACTAAAATTATCCTCAGACCAGGGGATATAAAACATGAAAGGATTTCATGTTTACACTTGGCTCTCATCTCCGGGCTATCTCATTGTGCATAAGCAGATATTCCAAAATGGGAGAGAGGTGCAAAATCTACAACACTTTGGTCCCAGGCATTTTAAAAAGGGCTACTCAGCCAGTATCTTGATCTTTAAGGTAATTATGTACTGATTTTTACTTAATCCTCAAGGGCATCTTCCATAATTTATTAATCATTCCCTTGTTTGGGCATCCATTTTTAAATTTTGGAAGGTGTTATTTTGAGTACTATAATTACACCTGAAGAAAAGATACCATTACAGAGAAGGTGGGGAAATACATCGAGCCTTAGGACGCTTAGGGCTGTAGCAGCACATTTCTCAAGGACTCAGGAAGTTGATACTAATGATTTACGCTTAGTTTCATTTATGTTTCAAAAGTCATGTCTTTCCTTGATGAAGATTTATTATTATTTTTGTTTGATCCTTTAACGAAAGGATAAAGGCTTCCCTGAAGAAACAGCGAGAGAAAGGGGAAAGAGGAAGGGGAGGAAAAAGAGAGAGAGAGAGAACATGAAGTAGATTGCCAGTGGAACTGAGGTCTGAGGTAGACAGCAGGGAGCTTGATCTGTCCAAGAAGGCACTGAAAAGTGGTAGGGAAGAGATCAGGAGTTAGACAGCTGTTTCTGCACTCCAACAGGACACTCTGCGAGCACCTTCTGGGTGTGTGACGGGAAAGGAAGGGATTGTGTGAGTGAGATATTCACAACTTAGCAAAGGGCATCATCTGTGTATTCCTGCCTCTCCGGGACGCTGTTGTTCAGCAGTAGTATGAACTGCGCATTCTTGACATTTTGTGTGTTCTTCCTATCTCTGTCTGTATCTCCCTTCTAGGATAGAAAGAAGAGAGATAACAGTCCATTTGTATTGAATAATTAAAAATGTATCCATTAATTGTCATGAATACCCTGAAAATAAAAGACCATCAATTGTTAATCACATCAGTTGAAGGGACCAGTCTAAGCTTTTGTCAGTTTGTAACCTCCAGTTCTTTTTCTTTTGGTAAGTTTCACAGAAGAATATACAAAGGAATTCCCCTCCAGCTCCGAGGTGAAGTCTGGTCTCTCCTTCTTGAGATCCCTAAAATGAAAGAAGAAACACGAGACCTTTATAGCGTGAGTAGCTAAAGTATTACTTTGAAATTAAAAAGTAAGATAATTTATTTTAGCTTTCAAGGTCATATAAGACACTTATATCATCACTTGAAATTATACCAAAAGTATATTGGGTTTTAGAGATGCGTTGTTTGTTTTATTGATCTGTAGTCTCAGGGTGGAGAATATAGCTCAGCAGCACAAGCTCCCACATGGCAAGCACAAGGTCCTGAGCTCCAGTCCCCATACCAAAAAAAAAAAAGGGGGGGGAGGGGAACCCTTCTTCTGATTTATAGTCTCAATTTTAAATAAATACTTAAGTAAAAATGTTATTATAATGTCTGTATTGATCAGTGAGTATTGTGTTTTTCAAATATGTAAGTGATTAATCATAGTACTTATGATCCATCAATATTGGAGGATATTTAAAAGGAAAATTGACTAAAACCTGATTGTAGTGTCAAAAAAGAGATTTGTAATGTCCTTGTTAGAGTTTATGGAAAAATAACAATTCAGTTTATCCTACATCTATCTATCTATGTATGATTCTTTTTCTTCTGGGGTTATAAAAAGAATTTGCCTCCAAGGTTATTATGTTATTCTAAGGTTTATTATTTATTAGTAAAATGTTAAACTTTTGATTGCGTGATCAGTAATGCTTTTCTTAAATGAAACAATGTATTAAAATTTACCTCCTTGTCATCTCAGCTCTACCCATTCTAAATCTGTTTTATAATAACTTTGAAAGGGATAAGAAGCTTACATGTAAGAATGTTAGATCTACAGATTTTGAAATAGTCTGCTTAGAAAATATATATAAAGTTAGAATTAATAGAATTAATAAAATAAATAGAATTGATTAAAAAATATTTATAGTTTAAACCAACTACAAAAGGCACTTTAGTGTTCTTTTGGTATTTACCTTTTCTTTTTCATGTGTATTGAGGTAAAATTTCTCAAGACGAAAGGTAGTAAACTACAGTTTTCAGTTGTATGGTATGTGTTTTTCTATATGAAAATAAAATTTTCCAGTGATTAATATAGAAGAATCATTTAGTAAAAACGGATAGCGCCAACAAAAATAACTTAACCATTGGTCCTTTCAAACTCATTTTCAACACAATCACACACATTTTTACTGTGTATCAGAAATTCTGTAGCATCATTGAGTCTTTCTTTCCTGACCGCTCTTTCTTACTAGCTCTGTGTCTCGGTTACTTTTCTCTAGTTGCTGAGACAAAATACCTGATGCCCAGAATGAAGGAATGAGGTTTATTTAGCTCACAGTTTGTGGAGGTTTCAGTCTATAATCAGCTGGCTCCAAGAGAGGGGGCAGATGGCAGAGGGCAACAGTGCAAGGTGGCAGAAGACAGCAAAGCAGCAAGAGCAAAAAAGGAGAAAGAGAAGCCTCTTTTTGTGTGAAGGCCACCTGCCCTAGGGTGGGTGCGGCACTCACAGCACTAATCACAGTAACAGACAGTGAGCCAATCACAAGCTCTAGATTCAGCCACCACTCTGTATTCAGCCATCTCCAAAAAAGCCCGCGCCCCCTTTGACCACGTGAGGCTTGGGGGAACCCCTGCACTCACATCATGACAGTGTGAAAGTCATATTATAGCATTCTCCACACATCCTCCATGAACTGGCTGGAACTTCAATAGGAGCAAAGCTACCTTCTCTTAATCTACCAGGGTTTTTCTTAGATGGGTGAATTATTTGGAGCCTGGCATATTATGAGCATTTAGTCCTTCAAGTTTGTCTACTGGTGTGTACCCATTCTTAGACTCCGGCCTTGGATGAGTTGCTTAAGAGCACACAGACATGAGTGGGTGTGGTCAAGAGGCTGCTCCTCTCTGTCAGAGGAGACGGTAGTACAGAAATGTGTAATAATGGACTCCTTACTATGTGACAGATACTCTAAAAGTTACGAAACAAAAACTTGGCTAAATTGAAAGCAGAAAAAGAAATCACTTTTATGGGTCAGGAAATCTTCATAGAATAGGTGTCTGAGGGGGTGTTGTTTCCAGAAAGGAAGAATGGAGAATGAATTTTCAAGGCACAGTGCAAACACCTTTTTCTGATTTACATCTGAATAGTCTTAATTTGAAGCTTCATGTTGCTGTATTTTTAAAATACTTTACTTTGAGGAGATTTGATCTTACTCAAGTACTTTGATATATGGATAGGTGAACTACTTCATTTAATTATAGCAATAATACCAAGAGGTAGGCTTTACTATTATGATCATTGAGATTAAGTAACTGTTTATTCCCAAATGCAGAGATGGCATTTAAAATCCAGGCTGTGCTGGCTGCTGAGTTACTGCTCGTATCTACTGCCTGTCCCTTTTATTTGTATAGCATTTGTATCTTCCTTACAACTAGTGGTATACATTACAGATAGAAGTGGGTCCGTCCACAGTGGGCACAAGCTTATCTAAAGCCTTAGCCTAACTCAGTAATCCAGTAGGCTGAAACCACAGAGATTTGTAAATTTTTATCTAAATATCTTCTGTTGTACTTCTGTCCTAGGTTTATGGGTTCATTAAATCCAATTGGTTGGGGCTGGGGATTTAGCTCAGCGGCAAAGCGCCTGCCTGGCAAGCGCAAGGTTGTGAGTTTGGTTCCCGGTACCGGAGAAAAACGTCCCCCCCAAAAAAATCCAATTGGTTGATTGATTGATTGATTGACAAGATCTTGCTAAGTTGCCCAGACTGGGCTCAAACTTGTGATCCTCCTGCCTCAGTCTCCCAAAATTCTGGGATTATAGGCATACATTACCATGCCTGAATCCCACTTCATTCATAAAGCGCTTATTTTTGTATTATTGTGATTCTCATGGGTCACAGCCCATGTAGTCTCAAGAGATAACTGTAGAAACTGTTTACTTCCTTTAGGCAGGTAAGAAATGTTCTTGATGGACTGTATTCTGTGCACTACCTTACAAGCATTTTAGGACAGAAATAATCCTCTGACCTATTATTTTTTACTGCCTAATGAGGCACAGGGCTTTGCTTCTGTCATGACACCTTTTGTGTAATGTGCTTTCTTGTCTTGAAGATAAGTTGAGGCTATAGATGGGTTTGGGTCTTTTTCTCTGCTTCCCATGTTTTATTTCAGGGCACTTTTTTGTTATGTCACACATTTTCTTCCTGTGTTTTTGGCATCTCGCCTGGTAGCAGGAAGCATGTAGAATAATAACCAAAATCTCTGTACCTGCCTATTACCTTAAAAAGAAAAAGATGATAAATGACCAAATATGTCCAAACTGCTCTGTCTGTACAGTATCTTCTGAAACAACATACAGCAGTATTTTATTGGCCATATGACTGTAATGCATTGCTGTAAGAAGCCTCCTTCAGAGTGCTGGGACACACTGTCGTTACCCTTCCTGTTTGTCTTGTTTGCTTTGCAGAGCTGGGGTGGGGCCCGGGGCCTCACAAATGCTAGGGAAGTGCTCCACACCCCCAGCCCACTCTTCACATTTTAAAAAGCTACAGAAGCTACTCTTCTCTGAGTTACTACCTCAAAATACAAAAATCCACATACTCACAAAATACTTAACGTGCATACACATACCTGCCAGAATCGTGTACATTTCAGAGATACCCATATAGCCTTTATTCCACTTTTAACTTATGTCAGGAATTAGCAGTTTTATATGTATTCAGTGGAGTGGATTTTAACAGGAATCTGTATTACCAGTACATGGTAAATGGATCCATATAATGTGAATATAGATGCTTATTTTTGCTTAGACATGATTATATATAGATTAATATAATTTCTAAGTTCTCATCTGCTAAACATGGGCCATTAAACATACTTTTAATTTAGCTTCCTTCCCCCTGAAATGCCACTAAATTGACAGCAGTTATTTTTTTTAAAAAGGCAAACCTACAAGGTATAAGAAAATGTGAAATATCTGTAATTTTCAAAAGTCCCAATTTTTGGAAACCAGAATGCAGAGTGGCATTTAGTCTACTTAAACCCAAGAAGGCTGAATTCTAGACCGGCAGTGGGAAACTGGAAGAGCAACACGATTTGTATCTCAAATCTTCAGAAGCTTGGTGATTGCCAGCTAGAGGTATCTCTGGAAGTGGAAGTGAGGCTGAACACAGAAGTGGCTGCAAGTCTGTTTCAGAAGCAGTCGGAGCCCTCAGGTCTCCTCCTAGCCCAGGCCCAAGACTGGAGGCTCACATTTGGGAGAGGGTAAGGGAGAGAGCTTTTGGCCTGGGGCAGCACCGAGGCTGCTGAGGGGAGCTGCTGCCATGAAAGCAGAGGAAGAGGGTATCTCGGATTTCAGACAGCCGGCACTTTTTCTCAACTCAGCTCCCAGAACTTTAACAGCTCAGCGTTGATTCTCCTGCCAGATGGGAAGGACCTTCTGGGGAGCATGTCTACTTCTAGAAAATAAACTGATTTCTCGGGGACCCTTGCATCTGCCCAGCCAGCTCAGTCCACACTGGCGACCACTGTCTCGAGGGTCCCAACCCTCCCTTCCCCCAGCCTCACAACTCCTGGGTTTTTATTGTTGCTCTTGCTGGGTGTTTTGTTTTGTTTTGTTTTTTGAGACAGGGTCTCACTTTGTAGTGTGAGTTGGTATTGAACTCACAGCGATCCTTCTGCCTCAGCCTCCCGAGTACTGGGGTTACAGGTGTGTGTCACATGTGTTCTTATGGTTTAACAAAGATGAACACCACAGTTTTGCATTTGAGGAAAGGGTTAAAATAAAAGACAAATGAAAACAAATAGAAGGAAAGAAACTTGTAAGAAACAGGCTACAAATCAAGATGAAAACTTAAAAGATTATTGTTAATATCTTCAGAGAAGTAAAATAGATATTACATCCATAAAACAAGTGTAGGGTGCTATGAAAAGGAACATTTGAGAACAACAGAGCTTGTGACTATAAAAATAATAGAAATGGAAAACTTAGGAAAAGTGAAAAACTTAATTGAAAGTAATGACTGAAGAAATTTCCCAGAAAATGAAATTAAAAAATAGGAAATAGATAGGAAATAGAGACATACAAGAAAAATTGATGCCAGCCTAGGAGCTTTCATGTAATAATCAGAGTTCCATAAAGACAAAACAGAAATACGGGAGGGGAGAATGAGGAAATTGACAAATGAATTATTAAAGACGACTCTTCAGAGCTGAGAGGTGTACGAGTTTTAACAGTTTAAAAGGTCTACCAGTTCCCACATCTGCGGATAAAAATAGATCTAAATCAAGTAGAGAAGTGGAAAGCTTCAGAACAGGGAGAAAACAGCACCTGTAAACTTCCAGAGAGGGGGAAAAAGAGTTTGTATAGTGACACAAGAATTCACATGGCAGCATGGAAGGCCAGAAGGCAAAGAAGTGCCACTTGAAGCAAAGATATTTTCTGACTTACAGTTCTAAAGCAATCAGTTTATTGAGAAGGTGGAATCGTTAGACAGCAGAGGTTTTAGAAACTTTATCTTCCACACCCTTTCACGGGAGCCACTAGTGAATGTGTATTCTAAACCAAGAACGTGAAGATGAGAGACCCAGGAATCCAGGGAGCCAGGCCGAGTGCAGAGCAAAGAGAAGCCAGCGCGGAGCACTGAGCTGGGCAGCAGCCCGAAGCCGGCTGGCCTAGGCAGGAGCAGGGCAGACGCTGGTGGGAGAGAGGCCTCCGAGAAGGGAACTTACTGGAACATCGGAGACTTACAGTTTACAGTGAGTTTGGAATTGGTCTACTTATAAGCATGTAGAAAATGAAGCAGATCAAGAAGCAAGACAATGATTAGCTCCAAGGAAAACAAAAAATTGTGCTGGAAAGACAAAAGAACTCTTAATAGACCACATGATTCTGTCAAGAGGAGCTTTCACACAATCTTAGTGATTCAAACCCTGGAAAGTTTCCTATTCTAAGTTAAATCTAACTGTACTGACATGACAGGAAGAAAAGGAGATGAGGAAATAGGGAGGGTTGAGGGCACAGAGAAGGAAGGTTTTCTTTGCGTACTTTTTTGTATGGCTTTTGTTTGGGGGAGGTCTTTTTGAGACAGGGCTTTGCTGTGCAGTTCAGACTGGCCATGAACTCAGTTTGTAGACCAAGCTGGCCTTAAACTCACAGGGTTCCTCGTGCCTCAGCCTCCCAAGTGCTGGAATTACAGGCGTGTGCCACCAGGCCCAGGTTGGCTTTGATTTTTTTTTTTTTTTTTACCCTGGGAATCCTTTTCTAAACAATAATGGAATATTTTAAATGAGAAACAGTTTATAATTGATCATAGATTGTCAACAAGTGATCTCATAAAAATGTGCTTTCTTCCTTTCTCTTTCTTTAGAAATTAAAACACAGAGCACGGGGCTGTTCGCCTGATATCAGACAAATAGACCTTGACGTCAACCGTACATTTAGGGACCATATTATGTTTAGAGACAGATACGGTGTTAAGTAAGTAACGTTTAATACTGTAAATGTAAAGAGCAGTTATAAAGTCTGTGTTAGGTTAAAATGTGAGTGTCTAGAATATCTTATATAGATTGTGCTTTTAAAACATTTTTATTAATATATATTTGCTGTACATTGTGAATATATTCACTTGGTGTATTGGTCCATATACATAATGCATCTTGATCCTTTTGATTTACATCCTACACATGTAAGTTTTTGCAAATAATTTGAATCTTTGGTGTGTAACACTTAGCATATAATTTAACTTAAATTTTTAAAACTCTTAAGTGCTATAAAATTAGTAACAAATCATTTTATGATCTGAGAATTTAATGAAAGTGTAATGGATTCTTTTATTCAAAGCTATAGAAAAGAAATGAGATTGTTTTTGAAAATTGTGACTAATAAATGCATCTCTATAACTTTGACCTCAGATATAGAGGAAACTAAAAGAAATGAAAGGAGAAATTAATGAACTGAGTATATGGTTGAGACATTGGTACTGGACATTAGCATGTCATCACTGTGATGTTTGTGAATGAAATGTACAGTGTTGCTGACCTTTGGTCAGTCAGGTTCAGCCAGTGAAGCAGAAGCCAGTAGCAGTGTACACCAGGAGACTTTCTTACCCAGTTGTGGAGGTAATAGGCAAATCCAGAATCCATAGCAAGTCACCAGGAAGTATAAGCTAGAATTCCCAGGCGTGAACCAAAGCTGCTATTCCTAGGTGGAGTTTCTTATTCAGGGAAGACAAACTGAGTCAGGTCTATCCAGATTACCCAGGGTAATCTCTTCTACTCAAATTGAACAGGTGATGTATTTTTATTACGTCTGCAGAATGCCTTCCCAGCAACACCTGCACCCGGGTTTAATAACGGGGCATTGTAGCCTGGTCAGACTGACCCAGAGCCAACCATCGTAATTCATTTGTGTCAATGTAGCTCCCATGTGCATCTCTGTAAACCATTGTTAAGTTATTCGTCTGTCTAACATAATGCAGCTATTCTAGTTAAAACTGAAAACATGCAAATGCTTTCACCGCAAGTAGAAGTCCTTGAGTGATGTCATATTTCTGTTTTGATATTCTGTAACTTAAATATTGTGATATAAAGTTAATTATTGTTAATATATCTTATAATACATGGTAAGAGAAAGAAAAACTATACATATATATACATATATACACAAAATATTCATACCATATAAAGGAAGAAGTACTTGCAGCAATTATAGTCTTTTCTGCAAGTGGCTCTATAGTTATAGATGGTATTCATGACTGCCCTCTTCTCTTCCCTGTTCAGTGTACCCCTGGCCTTCAGCAAGTGCCTCAGCTGGGTGACTCAAACTTGATTCATTCCTAAACAGTGTGGACCCTTACAGTCCTGCCTGAATTCGGTTGTTGTAGGTTTTGATTGACTTTAATAACAAGGTTTGGCAATACTAACAGATGCCTCAGTGTCTCCTGTATTCAGATATTCCTCCTTTTGTCCTTTGGATAGTGGTACTTCGTTCCCTTAATAGTCAGGATCAATCACCTTCCTTTGCCTTTGGAGGCACAAGGAGCCTAACGTAGCGTAAGGAGCCCAGCGTGGTTAGGTAGCAGTTTCAGCTTCCAGTTCAGTCATCGTTACATCTCCTAATGAAAACACTCCTCCTTGGGGACTGAGAGCTCCAGGTCAGCAGACTCTAAGGCAGCAAAATCTCAGTAGTGAATCCTTGGAGTTAAGAAGAATGGAGCCACTCCACCGTTTGAATCTTGTATTCCCGAGCCCTGGTTGTGGAGGAAACCGCACCTTTTACTGGAGGGTAATGCAGGACATGACCAGCTTCCCTTGCAGGGTATTGTCCGAGGCCTGCCTGGCATTTATCTTAGCTGGTCCTGTAACCGAGTCTTCAAAACGCCATGCCACTGCCCTCTTAAATCAGTGGGTAGTTCTGCTGGGGTTATTGCAGAGTAAGATAGTTCAATGAAAGAAGGCAAAACATTTTAAGGAATTGTGAAGCCATTTATGCTTTTGTTACACATTCTGTCTAGTCTCAAATTTAGACAGTTTACTGTTGCAGCTTGGGAGAATTTTCTTTATTACAGTATTAATTTTATCTGGATTATCTATTGGTTTTCCATCAGTTTTTTTATGTTTATAATTTTAAAAGCGTATGAAATAACTAAATTGTGTTTAATATACATTTTTATTTCTCTAGGCAACAATCTTTATTCCACGTTCTTGCTGCATATTCTATTTATAATACGGTAAGTTGGAGCATGCCTGTCCAGTTCTGTGAGTTATATTCTGCAGTTCCTTTTGGTACTCCTTCCCTAGCAAGGTCCCTCTGGGTACAGATCTTCATCTCAGGACCAATGACTATTTTAGCCCTGTAGTAATCATGGGATCCTAGAGCAAAGCTGATTTATAAGTGGAAAAAGCCTGCATATGACCATGGTATGCCAGTGAACCATACTTTTTCACTCCACTTTATGTTTGGTGGATAGAGTTTCTTTGTTGTTTTTATTTTAAGATTTATTATTCTAGGGAGAGAAAATAACTATGGAAAGACCTAACATGGGCAGTAAATAAATATTTGTTGACTAGGTTCCAGGAAGGATAATCTTTGAACCTTGGGATATATAATAAGTTGTCTTGTATGTACAACCTTTATGTTACAAGAGCAGAAATTTGCTCCCACCAGGGAAAGTGAAAAAGGGATTTACTAAAGGGATTTCTCATAGAAATTAAGCAGCAGCAGAGCCTCATGGGAGTTGGAGCTGGAAAGTGATAAGCGTTCATGGAAAGGCTATACTTTTTCTCTCTCCCAGTCAAAAGCCATAAAGAATCTGATTATCTCTGTGGGCTATTCATCCCAGTGTTTACCTCTCCACATTGTCTCCTTTGCCTGCTTGCTGGTTACCCATGGCCAAAATTTCACCCCAGACTCACTGTGACCGCACTGTGCAGGTGGAAGTCTCCAGTGATTATAGTCTCTCTGGCTGTGTTCAGATTTCCTAGAGAGCGGAGTCGGTCAGTTGGTGCAGCCAGGTCGTTGTTCCCTTGGGGCCAGGCATCCTCATCGGGTCCGTCGGCTGTGGTTGCTGTGACATAAACGAGAGTCTCTCAGGCCACGTCATAAGCAGAGACTATGAAGATGAGGGACACAGGCTAGACGGACACCTCCAGAAGTGTCTAGTTAAGAGGAGGGAAAGAAGGAGAAATTTGTGTGTGTATATGCAGGATAGTTAACATGGCTGTTCTACTGTCTGTTTCTTTGCTGGAAGAAACTGTCAGTGAGTCCTTGATTGATCAATATTGCATGTCTCTGTCAGTTTTCATAAGAAACCACTTTGAAGATATCAATGTGTAATACAAGAAGCATTGTTAATTTCCTACCACTTTGTTTGTAACTCTGTATTGTCCGTACTGTTCTTTTGCTATTTTGTAAAAGGTTGTCTGTCTGTCAATGTTTTCCTCCTTTTATTTTTAAAATAAAAAAACAAAAACAAAACAACAACAACAACAAAAAGAGTCTAGAAGTGTAAAGGAGAAGCAAACGGGAGGGGACGCTGCCAACATCTGAGCAAAAAAGAGGAATGGTGAAGTAAGAGTTATACATAAAATGAAATACATATTAGCCGTCTTCAAAGAAAGTATAACAGTACCCAACAGAAGACAGCTAAAAAAAAGTGTTGGTTAGACTTTTCCATTCCTTTTATTCTTGAGTACAGTTCTCTTTACAGTATAGGACAGAATATTGTAAAGACTGATAGTTATCTCTAGAATTGCCCACTGCATAATGTGTGTAGATGTTTTCTGACCTTTAGCAGGCCCGCCTTTTCTGTGCGCATTTACACGTCACTTGATGTAAACTCCTCATGTGCTCTTCAGGAAGTTGGGTACTGTCAGGGAATGAGCCAGATCACAGCCCTGCTGCTCATGTACATGAATGAGGAAGATGCTTTCTGGGCCCTCGTCAAGCTCTTCTCAGGCCCCAGACATGCCATGCACGGTAAGAGAACCTTGTATTTGTCACAGACAGTAAACAGCAGGAAGAAGAGGATGACTTAGAACCTGAGATGCTGGGTACACTAAGTGCAGGAAACTGTGCCTCAGAGCTCACTCAGTTAGTTGGCAGCTGTTACTGCTTTCTTCGTTTTTCTTTTTTAAACTTTTCTAGCTTTTCTGTTCACAGTGATTTTTCTTTGTCTTTTCCCTAAAGTATGTTGACATTTTAAAATTTTTTTCTTTCCTGCCCTTGGTTAAAAGAAAGTAATTTAGGTTTGGAAGAATTTAGGAAAAGCTGTACATTATTGGGAGAAATAAAAGGTATTTTTCGATTAAAACTTGACTGCCATGCAGTTATCACTCGAGTGAAATATACCTTTGCCTGCATATCATGAGGTGTAACTTCTTGTCAAAGAATGTTAGTTGAGAAATGACACCTAGCTAGTTAAAAGGAAAAGTACTTAACCAAATAGTTTTATAGTTTAAATGTGGCTTTTAGTTCTTCCCACCATAACTTCTGCTCCATTTTAAATAAAAAGCTGAGTAAATGTTTTGAGCATTTTATAATATTTCATTGCATGCATCATTTTTTGGTTTTCAAATTAGGAGACTGTTTTTAATAACCTTTTCCGTACTTGGCTAAGTATATACATTACACTTTATTTCAGAGAATTTGGATTGCAACTTGGAGATGAAAATGATGTTTGTCTGTATAATGTAAAATTATTTTTCTAGTGCATCTATGTGGTAATATCAAATTTAGAATAGTTTTAACTTTAGTGGCTCTAAGAGTGGATCATCTCAATTCATGTTGTGAATATTTATGCTTTATGTGTGTGAAAGTTGACACAGAAAATGCTCTTTAGTATTTTCTAAATTATGGCGTTACATAGTCCGTTATTTGTTAACCCTGACAATCCTATCATGTACCTGTGTGTGTGTTTGCGTGTTTGCGTTTGCTTTTGTATGTCTCTCTTAGTGTTGCTTCCCAACTATTTTAACAAGTACTGCCTACATGATAACTGTGGCACTTTGCATTCCATAAATGAACTAGAAAAGACAGACATATTATTATATTGAGTTGCCATCCTATAAACAGTATCATTTAAAAAGACGTTTTGAAGAAAAAGAACCTTCTGTGTTAGTCTTCATTTTACTTTCCCATGCAATGGTGCTGCTGATCTGTCTTGATAGAATGGAGTGTTACAATTAAATGATATATAATTATGTGGAAGACTGTTCAATTTTAGAAAACACTCATTTCTTTTAAACCTTTTTGCTAACTTAGTTATAGCAATGATTGTCATGATTCTAATCTATAAAGCAATATTAATTCTAATATTCTAACATTTGCACGTCCAGTACAGGATAGGTCATCATTATAGATGAATTTGTGTATGTGCAGATACTTGTTTCTGAATTTGCCAATTTAATACAATTAAAGGCTACTGCTGATCTGCATTTTCTGTGTAAAAGTGGTATCACATAAATGTATGGAATCAAAGCTAGGACTAGAAAAGATGAGATTTAAAATATCAAGCCTGTGCTATCACTGAGAAGTGAAGAAAGTTAGTTACCTTAGCATCGTTGAGCTAGTTATTACTGACGTGCATTGAAATTTTTCCATCTCCCATTCCTATCAAATTGACCATGAAAGTGGCATTGATACAGATTTTTTTAAGAGATTGCTTCACTGGAAAATATTACTAAAGGAGGAAAAGAATCTGTATCTGTGGAAATTTTTACACCTTCAAAAACTGAGAACTAGTTGAGGAAAAGTTCTGCCTAGTAGATTGTAAAGCAGTGTTTCCCAGTACTGTATTCCTTGGGTTCTTGAAAGAGCATAGCTTAATTTTTTTTTGAAACAGATATTTTTTTGGCAGAAAAGATAGACTTGGATTTTTCTTAAAAAGTCTGGAAGACTGAGCTAAGAAAAGCAAAATAAGTTTCATTAGATCTAAAAAACATCTTAAGAACATGAATAAGCAATACACATCATGAACACAGAAGAAGAGTATATGTAACGTACATCGCCACCGCCCCCCCCTTTTTTTTTTTGATACAAGATCTCACTATGTAGTGCAAGGTGACCTTGAACCCGGTTATATAGACCAGGCTGGCCTTGAACTCATGGTGATTCTTCTGCCTCAGTCTCCCTAGTGCTGGAATTACAGGCATGCGCCATCACTCCTGGCTCCCCACTCCTTTAAAAGAGAGAGAGAACATCTATTAACATCTGTCAAAGTTAAATAGGAACTAGGTTGGGAAATACTGACGTGGAGAAATAGTCTCTAGAGAGTATGTTCCTTTAAGCAGATTGTATAAATACCCGAAAGGAAATTTGTGAACAAAAATAGATGTAGAGTTCAATAAGTTAAATATACAAATTAATATTTACCATTTATAATTCATTACCTCCTAGAAATTTTTGGTATAGCATTGATCATATAGTGCCTATATGTTGTAAGTGATATTAAAAATACTTTTTATAGAGGAGAATAAGAATTGATACAAACTTTGAAAACATGATACTAATAAAATTGTAAGAGCAAGTTTGAAAAATAATAAATACCTGTGTAATTAATTTATAATAATGCAAAATTGCTAAGTAGTCAAGATTAGAGCAACTTACAAAAGTTTAGTCTTTCTAGATAAGGCTAAGTGTCTTAAAAGAACAGATAATCTTGATAAATGGCCTCAATTTCTATTTTTTCGTAGCATTTTAATTTACTTTTTAACTCAAAAATAACTTCTTAAAAATAATATTACAAAGATGTAGACAATGTTTAGCAAATAAATCCTAGCTAAAAGTTTTATTGCCCAAAGTTTAAATACAGTTATTTTCTTGGTGGGAAGGAAGAAATAGTTTGATAACTATTGGATGTTTCTTTTTATTTTTGACAATTACAAATAAAAGAAATATATTGCGTTTTTTAGTTGGGGGTTTTATTGGTATTGTTTTTGAAGTATTGTTTTTATGTTTATATTCTAGGCTTTTTTGTCCAAGGTTTTCCTAAACTTTTGAGGTTTCAAGAACATCATGAAAAAATACTGAATAAATTTCTGTCTAAGCTTAAGCAACATTTGGTAGGTAGATGTGTCACTGATTTGTACTAACCTACACCAAGAATGAAGCTACAGTCATTCTGTCTTTGGTCAGTTATCTCATTACTTTATAATGTCACCCATTTCCTTTATGATGCTGTAATAATTCCCATTTATTTGAAGAACAATAAATTTGTAAATTTTAATATGGATGCTCTATTATGGTCCTGATTCACAGATTCAAACTTCTTCTCTAATGCTGATAAATACGTTAAAGTTTTTAAAGATACATGATTTCTCAGTGAATTTTGAGGTTTTTTAAACAAACTAATTCCTTGTGAGCTATATGTATACTGCCTATAAATATATTAACAAATATCTAAATGTATTACAGTGCTCTCAGGAGGAACTTATTCTTAGGAAAATTTTGAGAAGTAAAATTTTGGAAGAAAAAGGAAGAATAGAAAACAGCATGTGGCAGGGATATAGCTCAGCGGCACAAGCGTCTGCCTGGCAAGCGCGAGGTCCTAAGTTTGATCCCAGTACCAAAAAAACCCCATGAAAACAGCATGAAAAGGATTCATAACAGGATGATTTTATATTTAGCTTTAACACCTACCTCCAATAGCTTTCTAACTTTTAGTATTATATTGTCGTATTTTGTTTGCTGCAATCCAGAAATTGTGAGGTCTTTGTTTTTTCAGGATTCTCAAGAAATCTACACAAGTTTTTACACAATGAAGTGGTTTTTTCAGTGTTTCCTTGATCGTGTAAGTATTTATGTATAAAACTTAATTATAAGATTATAAGTACAGGGTGAGGGAAACCTAACCTTCCTTCTGTTTTGTTGTAGACTCCCTTCACACTGAACCTCAGAATATGGGACATCTACATCTTTGAAGGAGAACGAGTTCTTACTGCTATGTCTTACACAATCCTAAAATTACACAGAAGTAAGGAAAAGTTTATAAAGATTTTATAAAATATAAAGGCTTACTTTAATTCTAGTGAATTCCCAATCCATGTCAGATTCATTGTCTTATAGTGGTGGTTTAAAAAAATTCTTGAAAATCAATGGAGAAATTATCTTTAGTTGGTAATTTAATTTCATTGGCTCTTTCTCATGACTAGAAGCCAAGTGACACTGCAAAGGTCTTTCTTTTCCTCTTATATTATTTTCACACTTAAGAATGAGAATGTAATTTGTTAATTTCACTAGCATTTTGTAAGTGTTGATCCTCATTGGGCCCCCTTACTCGTTTCATTAGTCTGAATTTGAAAAGTTTGTAATAGGAGAATGTAAAAAACAAAAGACCTAAGGGGATGGAGAGACATTTCTTTTACTGTTTGTTAGGAGAAAAAGCATCCAGCTCCAAGCTGCTGGGAAGAGCTTGCAGATCCGTCTCTCTCTTAACTGTGTCCTGGCCTGTGGGACAAGCACAGATTGATCTGTGACACAAAACTTTCCCTTAGAAGGGGAAAAAATTAAGAGTTACAGTATTTCAAGGGCTCTGTAAATTTGATTTGCTATGATTTACTTTAAAAATGAGTTTTTCTCTATGAATATGAAGTTTCAATTCAACTTTAAACATTATGCAGCTATACAGAGATGTGGATCATTGAAAGCTTTTAGAACTTTAGAAGTACTTGTAGTCGAGGCCACATCACATAGTTTCATACTTTATACTCTTATATGATTCTTGAATGATCTGTTCAGCAAAGCAACTAAACTATAAGCCAGCTTACTGTATGGAGTCATGTTTATAATTTTTCTATTTTCTGTGCTTGGTGTTATTCCAAGTAGATGTTAAGTACTTTGATACAGGATTGTGGGGTTGCTTCCTTGAACAGAATGAACTTCAGGAGGGCCAGATTAACCATACTTTACATAGGAATGAAAACTCCCAGTACAGGGTACCTCTGCATTGTTTGTACTTTTCAAAAACGAATTCAGCAGCGTTGTAGTTCATTTCCCTTACTCCCAACCCTTGTTGCCCCAACAAACAAACTAAAACTCAGAAACAGAATAGTTGACAACAAACTGTCTTCTAAGACTCAGGGTTCTAACAGCCAGGTGACATCCCTTTCTTTTCCCTAAGTCTCGCCTCACTTTCTTTAGTCAGAAGTCCCTTCTGTCTTTCTGGATTATAAATAAACCAAATTATAGAACAAAACTGTACTTTTTATTAAGAAATATTAAATTTTTTCTAAACATGAAAAAAGTAGAAATACAGTGTTACATTTCTTTGCAGCTCTCTTTTTCCTCTTAAGTTATTTTACTTATCAGGCCCTTGATCAGTTTTAACAAGTGAAAAGTTTCCTCACCCTTTGTAAATAAACTTTAAGCACAGATTACTTTATATGGCAGAATATCATTTGACTAAACTGTAGAAAGACCTGTTGTCTACAGTGTCTTTTTCTTAGGGAACCAAAACTCAAGGATTTAAATGTACTTCTTTCACTATCCCCAAGTGTCAAAAACTGAGTAAAAGTTGAAGGGCATTGGGGTTGGGGAGATGCTTCTCACGGGGTACGAAGTTCCAGGTCAGCAGGAGGAAATACTTCTGTGAATCTGCTGCATAGTGTAGTGACTATAATTAATAGTAATGTGTAGTATACGTGAAAATCGCCCCCAAAGCAGACGTTCTCATCACAGAAATAAGTATGTTTAGTGATGAGTATGTCAGCTAGGGTGACTTAATCATTGTACAATGGTATACATGTATCAGAACATCACCTTGTTCATCAAAAACAGAGTTTTTCATTTGCAAATACAAAATAAAATCGGTCATTTGACAAGTTAGAGAAAACAGAAAAACCCCTTTCTGGGTACTTTAATGTGTAGTTAGATGACCATTAGATTCCCTCTTTCCTTCCTTCCTTTCTCTCTCTCTCTCTCTCTCTCTTTTTCTCTCTCTCTCTCCCTTTTTCCCTCTCCCTCTCTCT